TGATGTCTATCGGCGGTCCGTAGCCCGCTCCGCCCGCCGTGCCATTCATACCTGCTCCTCGCCGAAGGCGCCCGCCTACGAGAGCTGCTCCGCCCCCGCACACGCCTCCGGCGAAGCGAGCGCGTCGGGCACCTCGGAAGCAGGCAGCCCCCCTGCCCAGAACGCCGCTAAGTCCGGCAACGGACCGCGAAGCGCCCCTGGGACAGGCCATCTGGAGAAGAGGGAACTTGCTCTTTCCCCGCTGGAGGGCGGGGCCCCATTTCCAACGGCACTTTTTACTGCCATGAAAACATTATGAAAGGGCACTTTTCACTTCCCCAGATGTGACAGCCCGAAATCTGCCAGTCTGGGACGCTATGCTTTCTAGCTTGCAGATTCGGTGCGTTTCGCCAGTGGCTCACGAGCGCTGGGAGGACGGTCTCCTTTCTCCCACCCCTCGAGCCTCCCCTCCGGAGCTCGGGTTTGGAGTGAGAGCAAATATCTCACCTCCAGCTTTTCCGTGAGACCCGCGAGCTTCCCGGATCAGCACACCCACTCCGCGCTGCCCCACTGCTGGTACGTCAGCGATTGTAGCGATGAGTCCATTAGCGAGAGCTCTGCCTGCCTGGTTAGCGCGGGCCAGCTCTTCGCGGTGGCTCATACGCACAATCAGACTCGGCTATGCGATTCAGTTCGCGAAACGGCCCCCCAAGTCACGGGTGTGTATTCACCAGGGTCAGTCCTCTGTCCGCCCCTGTCTTGCGAGAGGAGATTGCTGTCCTCCTGGCGAAGGATGCAATCGAGCCGCTCCCTCCAGCCGAGATGGAGAGCGGGTTTTACAGCCCACGCTTCATCGTGCCCAAAAAGAGCGGTGGGTCACGGCCAATCCTAGATCTGCGCGTTTTGAACCGCTGCCTGCACAAGCTGCCGTTCAGAATGCTCACGCAGAAGCGCATCCTCCGGTGCGTTCGTCCTCTGGGTTGGTCTGCAGCATTAAACCTGATGGACGCGTATTTCCATGTCTCCACTCTTCCTCGCCACCGACAGTTTCTGCGGTTTGCGTTTGAAGGTCGAGCTTGGCAATACAAAGCCCTCCCCTTCGGGCTCTCTCTGTCTCCGCGGGTCCTCACCAAGCCCGCGGAGGGTGCCTCAGCGCCCCTTCGGCTCGCGGGCATCTGCATACTCAATTTCTTTACGACTGGCTGAATTTTGCCCTCTCTTTGATTATGCACAGAGTTGATTATGCACAGAGACAAAGTGCTCTGGCACTTCCACCTGTGGGGGTTTCAGGTCAACCGAGAAAAGAGCAAACTCGCCCCCGTGCAGAGGATCTCTTCTCTCGGGCTGGAGCTGGACTCGGTCACCATGGCAGCGCGCCTCTACGGAGAGCGCGCTCAGCTGATGCTGTACTGTCTGAGAGAGCTCGACAGTAAAATAGTGGTCCCACTGAAACTATTTCAGAGGCTCCTGGGGCATATGGCATCCGCAGCCGCTTCATGCCGCTCGGATTATTCTATATGAGACCACTTCAGCACTGGCTTCACGATCGAGTCTCCAGACGCGCATGGCACGCGCGCGCACACCGAGTCTCTGTTACTGCGCTGTGTCGCCGCGCCCTCAGCCCTTGGAGCGACCCCTCGTTCCTACAGGCCTGGGTGTCTCTAGAACAGGCGTCCAGTCTTGTTGTCATTTCAGCAGACGCTTCCAACACGGGCTGGGGGGCTGTGCGTTGCGGGCATGCGGCTGCGGACCTGTGGAAAGGTACCCAGTTGCATTGGCATATCGCCTGGAGCTGTTGGCAGTGTTCCTCGCTCTCCACCGTTTTTTTTCCGGTGTTGGAGCGGCAACACGTGCTGGTCAGGACGGACAGTACGGCGGCGGTGGCGTATATCAGCCGTATAGGGGGTATGCGCTCTCGCCGCATGTCTCAGCTCGCCCGCCGTCTGCTCCTCTGGAGTCATCCGCGGCTGAAATCGCTGCACGCCATTCATATTCAGGCAAGCTCAACCGTGCAGCCGATGCGCTCTCACGGCAGCCTTGCGTCCTGGAGAATGGAGACTCCACCCCGAGTCTGTTCAGCTGATATGGGCGCGATTCGGGGAAGCCCAGATCGATCTGTTGCTTCCCCCGAGATCGCTCATTGCCAGTTGTTCTTTCCCTGACCGAGTGCTCTCGGCACGGATGCACTGGCTTACAGCTGGCCTCGGGGCACGCGCAATACGCGTTTCCCCCAGTGAGCCTGCTCGCGCAGTTACTGTGCAAGGTCAGGGAGGACGAGGAACAGTTTGCTGGTTGCGCCCCTCTGGCTCAACCGGACCTGGATGTCAGAGCTCTCCCTCGCGATAGCCCTCCCCTGGCAGTCCCTTCGAGAGAGCACCTACTCTCTCAGGGACAGGGCACCACCTGGCACCCTCGCCGATCTTTGAAGAGATTTTTAGACGCGAGGAAGACTTAGGTAACCTCCGATTGCGGTGGGTAATACCGTCACTCGGGCTAGAGCCCCCTCCCCGAGCGCGCCTATGCCCTGACGTGAAGTCTATTCACTGAATGGTGTGTCTCTCGCTGAGAAGACCCCCGTAATTTGCCAGATCAGCGTTGTGCTTTCTTTACGCCGAGAGAAGTTGGAGAGCAGGCTGTCGCCCTCCACACTCAAGGTTACGTGGCTGCCATCTCCGCTCTCATAACGCGGTGGCTGGCAGCACCGTGGGAACGCATAACCTCATCATCCGGTTCCTCAGGGGCGTTAAGCGAATTAATCCACCCCGCCCCCTCTCATGCCCTCTTAGGATCTCGCCCTCGCTACACAAGCCGCGTCAGATCCCTTCGATCCTCGACTCAGTATATTTCTGTCCCTGAAGACAGCTCTGCTGGTCGCGTTGATATCGATTAGAGGGTCGGGGACCCGGAGGCATTTTTCGGTCAGTGACTCGTGCCTGTAATTGGGCTGGCTTCTCTCACGTTCTGAGACCCCGCCCACGATATGTGCCCAAGGTTCCTACCACTCCGTTTTAATACGAGGTAGTGAGCCTGCAAGCGCTGCCCTCGGAGGAGGCAGACCCAGCCCTTCTTTATTGTCCAGTTCGCGTTTTGCGTATTATCCGGACCGCACTCAGAGTTTAGATCATCTGAGCAGCTCTTCGTCTGTTATAGCGGTCGGCAGCAGGGAAGTGCCGTACCGAAATAAGTTCCCACTAGATTGTGGATGCCTTTCTTTCACTATCAGAGCCGAGATGAGCCGCGTCCCCCGAGAGCGCGTGCGCACTCCGCTCGGAGCTTCGCATCCTCTCGAGCGCGCGCACACGGCGCCCCTCTAACAGACATCTGTAGAGCTGCGGGCTGGGTGACACCCAACACATTTGCAAGGTTTTACAATCTGCGAGTGGAGCCGGTTTCCTCAAGGGTATTAGGTAACCCTTGGTGATTGAGGAAACAATTCGGTAGGGTGTTGAAACACGCTTGCTGCGCCATTTTCCCTAACACGGAGATACGTGCGCCTTTTTATCTGTCAGTAAAGTTCCCCGTCAGGTGAGCCCTGCAGATTCCTCCGTGGCCCCCAGCACTGACTCAGCGGAGGAGTCACTTGCTGGCCCAATACGTTGTAGGTCTGCCCGCTGGTCAGCCCGCGTTTTGGGTAAAGGTGCCTGCTATGCGTGGTCCCCACTAGGCGATCCCATATGCTTATTCAGCCACGGTTAAGTCCCCCCCCCCCCCTGGGCGGACCCGTGTCTTCCCTCCCCGCTAACCACTCTTTTGCTATGCGTACTCCCCCTTTTTAGGGCTAGTCCATATGTAAATTCTGCCATCTATCCCCCCTTGGGTAACGGATGGCCTCCGCAGCGTCCTCCCTATCGGGATTGCACGCTTCCCAACGTACTGTCGTATTTTTCTAGAATTATCTAGATGCTCACGACTTCCCAAAAAATATATATAAATCCGTAAAACTTCTGTTGAAGTAGGATAAATTAGGGCCAGGGACACGTTGGAGGACCGCGCCCCCCATGATGTGGGTGCGTCACGCTTGCTTGACTATCTCCTCATCGGGGGTGTTGGTAAGGTGCAGTCATTATGGCGCTTTCAATGGGCTCCCAATGCGTGGATTTTACAATCAAATCCACTTATAGTGCTGAAGTTCCCCCCGAAGGGGAACGTTCGAGGTTACTACAGTAACCCTTCGTTCCCCGAGGAGGGGAACGGAAGCACTATACTCCGTCGCCATAATGACTGTCCCTTAGCTGTTGAAAGTCTCTTCAGCTTAAAAAGGATAGCGTCTGCTGGCGCCAGGTGAGCTTATATACTCAGTTGATTGCTTATGCCGCTCACCTGCGCAGGCTTGCGCTGCCAATTCATTCTTAATTGGCCCGTTCAATACTCTTTCAGACGAGTAGCTTCTGAACCGAACCTCCCAATGCGTGGATTTTACAATCAAATCCACTTATAGTGCTTCCGTTCCCCTCCTCGGGGAACGAAGGGTTACTTTAGTAACCTCGAACGTTCTCTGCTGTGCCTCATCCAAGGCCTTCGACAACTACAGCCTGTCTTGGTCATCCCTGTTCTGTCTCCTAGCCAGTAGCCATCTGTTACTGTATTCCATGTCATTCAGACTGTTTGCCATATAACTCCTGTTTTTCCTTTTATCTGTCAATCAGTGGCTGTTATACACCCCATATACCCCCCCCCACACACACACTCACATCCCCCTAGAAAAAAAGAAGACACTTTGTAGTTGACTTTTTTCTAAAACGAATTGTCTCAAACAAACAATTCAGACAGCATACAAACTGAAATTTGACTAGTATTTCCCTAAATCTGCACCTTTCTTTTGTTGCAGCAAAGTCATCAATTATATTGTCATGTACCCATTTAAAGTGGACATAAAGCTCTACTGAGGCATGGCTCCTATTGTCTTTATTCCGAGATTACCACTCTTAATTAATACATTTGCATAAAGTAATTCATATCTTAAAGCTATTACTGTGGCACGTTTTTTTTTCACTGTCTCTGTTTCGCACCCAGTAAGATGTCGCCCTGGGTGATCGCCCATATCTAAATCTGCCACTGCTGTCAATAAAACCCCCTTAACCTACATTTCGTGTTTGGGATCTCCTTCAGGATCCTTGACAATCATGCATGTTATAGTATGTGTACCTGTGTATCCCTGCTGAACATCTCAATGCCTCTGTCTGGCCTCTTCTTGGGCACCGTCTGTATAGCAGCATGGTGATACTCTGCGTTGGTCAACTTGTGACGGTATCCTCCCAGAAAAGCCTTCCCCTGAGTGGCTCTCTCAATCTCTACCACCACATCCTGGTATGTGTCTGCTTCTTAAAGTGAGAAAACTTGTCACAAATGCTTGTCTATAGGTTTTAAATAAGCAAAATTCTGGTAAAATAAGCCAAATACGTTTGTAGCATCAAATCTCATTCAGTCTTTGCACAATGACAGATTTTGCATTGTTGCTTCTACAATCTTTTTATTAGTATCACATACTCTTAAAAATGATCAGATGCATGTATAAGATACAATAGGGTACCAAAGCAATTTTAAGCTTACCAACAAAACAGTGGTTTATGAACAATGTTTTGACATGTTTTTTTTTCTTCAAATAAACAGTTTAATAAAAAAATAAACTTTAATTTTAAAAGCGACCATGGTAGGTTAAAATGGTTGTTTAATCTAATATGAGCAAGAGTTTTCAACTGTACTGCACACATGTTTATACACATTTTGGGGATGAAATAAGTTCATGCAGGCCTATTTTTTCATTCAAAATGTTTAACAACCATTTTAATTATTTCACCAATGCACATAAACACACACCTATACAGTTTTATGCAAAAATTTGGTCACCCCTCTGTGGCTGCATAATTATTTGCTCTTTAAAGAGAAGATCACAGTGAAATGTCATTCGGTTTCTAGTGAAAGCTAGATAATGTCATGTTTTTCCGACAGAAATATGTAGGGTAGCAGTATTGAAATGTGTGAAATAAATTGAAACTGAAAAAATGTGCAGGTACTGGAAACCTTGTCAGAGTTAAAGGTCGCATGGATTTCCCCCAGTATCAGCTGAATCTAAAGAATAATTTTCAGAAATCAATCAAGAGGCTGAAGTTACTCCACGGCTGGATGTTTCAAGCAGGACAATGATTCAAAGCACAGTTCCAGATCTGCTAAGGAATTCATGTTCAGACATGACACAATGTTCTAGAGGAGCTATCCCAGTTCCCAGACTTGAACATCATCGAAAAATCTATGGATTGATTTGAAAAGGGCCTTTCATGCTTGGCACCTATCAAACCTGACTGAACTTGAGAAGTTTTTCCAGGAAAAGTGGTCCAAAATGCCTTCAGCAAGAATTCCGGGACTTATCCTTGACTATAAGAAATGTCAACAGGCTTTTATTTCAGCAAAAGGTGGCTGTACAAAACATTGATGTCATTATTCTGTTGAGGTGCCCAAATTGTTGCACCTGTCTGTTTTTGTTATGATTTAAACTAGATGGCATCTGTTGAAAGGATAAATGTTATGTCAGAACTGAAAAGTTGCTTTTTTCATTAAGGTATAAAATTTATCCAAATGAAATAGCTGATTTAAAAGGCCAGCAGGATGAGGCTTGCAATCATTTGCAATAATGATTTCATTCATAACTGCATTGCAGTTGTTTAAAGAAATATTTGTTCAGCTTTACATCTTTACATTTTTTCTGTGATACACTAAAGACAATAGTGCCAACTTACTGTTCAGCTGAAGTTACATATGTTTATATTGGCCCATTTTATCAGAATATTGTGCCTTGGCTCAAAATAGCTTCCTGGTAGTCTAAACCAGGTTGCACACCAGAAGCACCGCTCGGCAATGCGCCGCGTAGCTCCATGCAGCGCCATGCATTTTACAGTTCTAAACATAGGTTTCTATCAGGGTACACACACTGGCGCCGCAAGTCGGCGGCTGTCGGTGGTGCCCAGTCACGACTCAGGATGCTGTTCATATTTCAGCCGCGCCACAGTGCGCCATCTGATTAGTTTCATGTTAAATATTGTGTGAATGTGCTCGTCTGGTGTGTGATACTTTAAAATGTCAAGTGCGCGCCGTGTCACGGTGTTCAGTGGCGCTTCTGGTGTGTGACCTGCTTTACTCACAATTTTTTAAAACAATTATACTTTTGTTTATATTTGAAAACATATTTATAATTTTTATTTATACAGTTAAAGTCAGAAATATTAGCCCCCTGTTTATTTTTTTCCCAATTTCTGTTTAACGAAGAGATTTTTTCAACACATTTCTAAACATATAGTTTTAATAACTCATTTCTAATAACTGATTTATTTGATCTTTGCCATGATGACAGTAAATAATATTTGACTGGATATTTTTCAAGACACTACTATACAGCTTAAAGTGACATTTAAAGGCTTAACTGGGTTAATTAGGTTAACTAGGCAGGTTAGGGTAATTAGGAAAGTTATTGTATAACGATGGTTTGTTCTGTAGACTATCGAAAAAAAGATTGCTTAAAGGGGCTAATAATTTTGTCCTTAAAATGCTGTTAATAAATTAATAACTGCTTTTATTTTAGCAGAAATAAAACGAATAAGACTTTAAATGACCATGACATTTATAGAGAATATTATCTCTATAAATATTATCAGACATGCTGTGAAAGTTTCCTTGCCCTGTTAATCATTTGAGAACTATTAAAAAAAAATAATAATCAAAGGGGGGCTAGCAATCCTGACTGTGTGTGTGTGTGTGTGTGTGTGTGTATATGACTAAAACTTATAAAACTTCACGTGGACTTTAACCCATGCAAATTCATAAAAAAACATCATTAGATCTCATATGTATAACTTATTTGTTGGTATTGTAGGTCATTTACCAAAATGTGCCCTATTTTAGCAAATTTCCCATTACTTACAATGTCTCGGTCTGCTAGAAGTTTAAATGTACCTGTTTGCACTCTGACAGTAATGACATCTGGCATGTTGTACTCTTGCTGTGGTTTGACTGGTCTCATGGGGTAATTTTCTGGGTCTAGCGAGCTCATCTCGAATTGGATCATCCCATGTGGCTGCACGCCGATATCCATCAGTGTCTGATCATCATTAACATTTTTTTCTAGATAAAATTAGAGAAATAATTAGTTTCATGGATAAAAATGTGCACTTTGCATTATAGTACAGTAAATAGTTATTAAATTAGTTATTAAAAAGTTATTAAATTGTATGAAATTATTCTCTGCAATGTATCCTACAGTTTCAGGCATCTTTTGTGTCTTACCGTCTAGGGTGATTTGTATGATGTCATATGGGACTCTCATCTCAAAGCTGAAATGTTTTTTCAGGTCCAGGATTGTGAGGCCAATAGTGAAGGCCACAGTTATCATGTGCCTCTCTGGCATCAGCAAGATTTTAACTGGTAAAAACAAGAAATTATTCATATAAAAAACTGAATATTTATATTTTGTATGGTACAGTAATGGAATTCAAGGTTTATACCATTGTTTTTTTTTCTATCATGGTACTGAATAGTCATCATAGCCCTACATCGTGGTATTTCTTCAGCCAAGCAGTCTTTTTTGTGTGTCTATATATTATAATAGTTTTATTCAAGTATAATATATTTTTCAAGTATATATTCAAGTAGATCAAGTAGCATTTCAGTTAGTTGAAAATATATCATTTAAAAGAATTCTATTACACATATTTGTTACATAATATTTATTTATTTGTTATTTTTGCTTAAAATGTTCTTCAATCACATTTGTGTGTGGTAGTGTTTGTGTGTGTGTGTGTGTGTGTATATATATATATATGGTTTCCGCTTTAATACCGCTTTAATATCGGTTTCCGCTTTAATACCTGTTTTTTTTTTTTTAATGTAATAATGCGGGTAATAATCGCACCAAAACATATTAAAGAGTAACTGAATTATAACAGCGAAAACTTTTCTGTAACCTTAGTAGTGCTGTGCGTCATTTGTTTAACCCTTTAAGGTGGCGTGCTGACTGACTGGCTGACTGACTGAAAGGTGCGTGATGCATGAGGCCAGCAAACACAACGTACAGCCGTTTCACTTTACTTCAGGACGCATTAAATCTACTCAGTAGGTCTATTGGAGACATTCATAAATATTATTAGCAAATCTAATAAATGTTGGAGACATTCGTTACATAAACGCACTAAATCGCACTTCAGTAGCGTTTATTTGAGGGGGCACAAGAAGACCTGCGCGCTCTTGAAGCAGCTTATATTTGAGGGGGTGTGCAAGAAGTTTTGTGCACGAGCAGAGGAAATCGACACGCAAGCAAAGAGATTCACATGCTCGTAGGCTATTACACAAATGCGCAACTGTATTTGTCAAAATAGCCGAGAGTCACGCCTGTTTCTCACGCGCGGCGGCGGGAGAGCAAAAGCGGAGAGCAGCCAGGCACTTGCCTTTTGCGTCTGCACTCAGCAGCGTGCAGCAGAGCACAGGTCATTATATTCCTGTCCATTCTATCTAGTTACCTATCTGTCCATATGAATATACTTTTTTTTTTCTTCTTTTAATCTGCTCCACCGCCCGCGGCAACTTCCTCCTATGCTGTTTCCTTAACCTGCAAGTCTTTATTTTACAAATTATAAAGAATGTCTGCTTCTCAAGCTCTATGAGGAGTGACAGTCATGTGTTTTAAGATGCACTCGGTCAGAAGACAAGTGCATGAGATATCATGACATTATGTTTTTGATCGTCAGCAGTATGTAGGCTTATAGTGACAATAGTATTTATACAATATGGTTATAATTATATTTATCCATGACCAAACTAATGTGCAACTTAAGCAACTTTTTTTTTTTTTAGCCATGTTTGATGTTTCATTGTTGAGTTAAACTTTTTTTAGGGTCTCTGACACATCCTTTTATTATTTATTTTTATTTTATTAATCAATATTAACTGTGTGCGTCAGCAGGCAGTTTTTGTCATGTTCATTATTTATTAGGCTCCCTAAAAACACACAGGCACGCACATTTCCAGTGTGGATTATAATTTTATGGGCGTGCACAGGCACAAGGGCGTGCAAAGAAGGGGAGCATTTTGACTGATGTAGTGGGCCGCTCTGGCCCAAAATGCCAGGGGCGATTATTTTTTTCCCAGTCCAGCCCTGCAATTAGTACAATTGTTATTATTCAATACTTTATTATTATTATTATTTTTCATTTTCCATATTTGTAATACATGTATTTTGGCATTTTTTTTTGCAGTCCACTTAAAATCCAACATGGAAATCAATATTTTTTTTATTGGCATTGATTGTTTTGAAATTCAAATGCCATTAACATGCCCGTGTTTTTATTTCTGTAATAAATATGGCTGTCAAGCCAGGATCTTGATAGTATATTGTGGGTATGTTGTTTACATGAAGAAATCTGTGTTACAAGTTAAACAAAAATTCTAATAATGAATTATATTTTGAATTTAAATAGTATTTGTCTTGCGTTTACATTAATTTTACATTCGAATAGCCAAAATTACAAGTTTGTCTTTTAAATGCGATTAATCGCGATTAATTTTTAAAAAGTGCGATTAATTGGTTAATTTTTTTTTAACCGATTGACAGCACTAGTATATATATATATATATATATATATATATATATATATATATATATAAACAAACATTTTATTCCTCACTGAGTTTTAAATCTAAAGTATGGCAAGCAACATTATGGATTTAAGGATGGACGACATGACAGGACAGATGCAATTTGCAAAATGTGCCGCGCATCTGTAAAATACGCGGGCAGTATGACTAATCTGAAATCTCACTTGAAGCGGCGCCACGGTGTTGTTGTGAAAGCATCTTTCAGTGTTCCTGCATCCCCGGCTTTCGCACTGCTTCAACCAAGTTTTTTGCAACATAGAGCAAGTTTTTTTTCCGTGCGCAACAGTTTTGTGCGCTCTACGCCAATAACGAATGCTATTGCATTGTTCATCTGCAAAGATATTCAGCCTAGTGTCACGGAGAACGAAGGTTTTAAACACCTCCTCCTGTTAATTTTTATTTAATTATAATAATAATAATATTAATAATAATAATGATAAAAATAATGGGTGGCACAGTGGGTAGTTTGACCACCTCACAGCAAGAAGATTGCTGGTTTGTTATATTTTTATCAGCCTGTTGTTTACAGTGACAGTGATGTTTCAAAGCAGCATAACACTGCTAGTTCACAACCTTAAGTTTTGAATAATCAGTGGCAAAATATCTTTGTAAAACTTGTTTTCATAGTTGAAAAGTTAAATCACAATTTTTGTTGTGCAATGCTAAACCTTTATGTTGAAAGAGTGCAAATATATATATATTTTTAATATATATTGCACTTATACATTCTGTTTATCTTGAAAATACTTAAATAATATGTGCTATAGGTTCTAAAATGGCCCTCTACTGTAAACTGACACTCTGGCTCTGAGAGAAGAGCCAGTTTGTAAAAAAAGTCTTGGTTTTGCTTGGTTTATAAATAATCAAACTCATTCAATGGCACCAGCATCCTCTTTCACATCATCTCATAAACTTGATCTAATAAGTTAGTGCTGAAATATCGCATCGTATCGTGATATGGGTGTGAATCGTATCGTGTTGCATCGCAATATGTCACAAATGTATCGCTAATATATCGGATCGTATTCTTTGTATCGAGATGCGTATCGGATCGGCATTATAGCTTAGATGCCCAACCCTAATATATATATATATATATATATATATATATATATATATATATATATATATATATATATATATATACATTCATTTACCTTCGGTATAGTCCCTTTATTCATCAGGGGTAGCCACAGCAGAATAAACCATTAACCCATACACTTTCACATTCACACTACAGCCAAATTCGTTTATTCAGTTCACCATTATTGCATGTCTTTGGACTGTGGGAGAAACCAGAACATGCAAACTCCAGCCGGAACTCAAACCAGCGACCTTCTTGCTTGGAGGCAACAGTGCTAACTACTGAGCCATTATTATTATTATTATTATTATTATTATTATTATTATTATTATTATGTGTGTATATATATCTATAGTTAGTAACTCTTTACCATAAACATTTTTAAATCTCTCTTTTCATATTCATGTAATATTTATATATTTTTTCTGCTTTAACAAAATGTTTTTTATTAGTGCACCAAAAAAAAAAAAAAAAAAAAAAAACACACACACACACATTACAACGACACCATGTAGGGGAAAATACTATTTAATGCATATAGAAATATGCATACATGCTAATAAAAATTAAGCAAATGAGCAGAAACTAAATAAGCAAACGTTTTTTATTTAGATTGAGTTTGTGTATTTTGATTACTTAATTTCACCTTTCATTTAGCTTTTTCTAATTCGAATAAACATTTAAATTATTTAGTTTGCATTACAAAATCCCTATATTTCTCTTTTAAATTTCTATATTACAAAACTGTCATACCTAGATACCAATACTATGGATTCTAGTATTTACCCGTTGCTGTTGAGTTTCCAACATCATTGGAAGAAATGATCTTATTTTCACTTCCTTGTTTGTTTATATCGTCTTGTTGTCTTTGGTCTTCAGAAGTTGGTTCAGCGCTGTTTTCTTCTAGTAAAAGTGTGTCCGGATTTGTAATGACGTCCACACTGATCTCTTGCGTGTGTTCAACATCTTGATCTTCATCAGCCTCCTCAGTCTCTATTTGAATGGCTTCTGATGACATTTTTTGCTCTTCAAGGTTCACAGTTTCACATTCCTTTTCTGACATTGCAGTCACTCAATGCTCAAAATACGCAAAAACACGATTGCCTCTCTTTATTGTGAAAGCTATCTGACGGCGAAATCTTTATTATTGTTTTAAATAAAATAGTGGATCTTATGTTTACGCTGGCTTCACTGTATTTCGGCGCTGCTATGGTAACCACAGTGTCGCCAGTCGCTAGGAGTGTCCATTCACAAATGAGTCATTCGCTTGAGCCGATTCTTTTTTGGTGATTCAGTCTAACCGACTCGCAAAGCGTTTGTAATTGAATGCTAGCTGAACCACTTTGTTTAGGATTATAAGAGTAAGACGGGAAGTAATTTAACTCGAAGAAATTTAACTTCGACTGATGCCCTTGAAAAACTAAACTAAATATAGCCTAGTTCTGATGACAGAATGAATTTAAGCATTAAGTCAAACAGTTGAGTTACTCAAATAGTCATTCATTCATTTTCTTGTCGGCTTAGTCCTTTTATTTATCCGACGTCGGAATGAACCGCCCTCATTTAAATAAATTACTGTTATTTTTAGTCACCATTTTGTGCAAGTTATCATCAATCATTTTCTTTTTAGCTTAGTCCCTTTATTCATCAGGGGTCGCCACAGCGGAATGAACCGCCAACTTGGGTTTTATGCAGCGGATGCCCTTCTAGCTGCAACCCATCACTGGAAAACACCCATACACCCTCATTCACACACATACACTACAGCCAATTTAGCTTACCCGATTCCCTTATAGTGCATGTCTTTGGACTGTGGGGGACACCGGAGCACCCGGAGGAAACACACGTGGCCATGCGAACATGGGGAAAACATGCAAACTCCACACAGAAATGCCAACTGACCCAGCTGACGCTTAAACCAGAGATCTACTTGCTGTGATGCGACAGTGCTATCCACTGCGCCACCACGCTGCCCCACTAATTAATTAAACCAGGCCTTTCAGTTTCATTGTCCAACCTCTGTAGATCTGCAATACCTTTTATTTTCAAATTAATTTACATAATATTTAATAATCAGTTATGACAGTTATGATAATCAGTTTTTTAGATGAAGCTCTTCCTTACTCATGCAAAAATGTGTGGATATGCTTAGTAATTTTGTAAAATGAGTTTAAAAGTTGTCTAATGTCTAATGTTTCTCTACATTAACACTGATTCGTTTTCATTTCCACAACACCCTGTCATTTCAGTCCCCACACACAATTTTTAAAAGTTCTTATCAAACATTAAAAATGTATTCAAAATTTATAAGCTTGTACTCTGTAATATACAAATTCAATGTATTTATTTGTTAATAAGCTCTTTATCAATATAATATTAAATCATAGAGTCTGACAGCTGTACAATTCAGCATTTGTTCCTAAGGGACTAATTTATTCCATTGACAAATGTATAATTATTGTATACATTGTGGAAGAATAGGTTAAGCTAGATACAAAAATGATCTTAGACAATATGACTGGCATCATTTATTTTATTTTGAGATAAATCTTTATATTGAGATGCGGTGGAAATGGCATTGGTTCATTTCATGATGGAAAAAAAGTTGAACATTAACAATTCGTCACGGTCACACAAGGAAGGTTATCTTTTAAGGGTATTTATTTAAAAAACAATGCAGCTGATGCAGAGAGATGAAGCAGGTAAGTGGTTACACATAGTTCATGTAAGTAAACGTCTTTATTCAAACACCAGTTAAGCCTAGTCACTTCCCTTATTGTATTTGCATCCACAGCCGAGGAGAGACATCCCTGGAAGAAGACGAGATGAAGAGGGGGAGGAGAAGAAGAGGTGAACCAGCCAACTTTGATTTCAGCTGGTGAGTGAGTGAAGGAGGTGAGTATTTGAGGTGTGTGGTGATTGTGGGTGCAGGTGCAGATAATTAGTATTCAGGTGATTGTTGACAGGTGTGGTGAGAGGTAGATGATGAGGGAGAACGATGATTAGAGCAGCAGGCACGAGACGAGGGTGTGACACAATTTCTCTTCTTATCTAAAGCTGCGGTCACACGAGAGTTTGAGCTTGCGAAATTCTGTTGTATGGCTCTGCGAAAAGGGGCGGGAGTAAACAAGATGATCAGACATTTAAAAAGCGAGTGTTTGCTCCATATTTTAAATTCCTGTCCAGAGAGGTCATGTTTTGATCCTCGATTGGTCTCAAGTGATGCGATTTCACAGGTCAGCGTTCACCAAGCTTGAACTTTGCACTGCAGCAACCTGCGAAATTTGACGCATGACCCTGCGTTTCCGGACTGACGCATTTGCGGGCGAATGAATGAAAGTCTATGGGAGGAAAAGCCCAGTGTGACCGCAGCTTAGGTTTGTCCTCTTACAGAAATTGTTTAAACTTTTGAGGCGGTTACATTAATTTGGCCGTAGTTGGAGAATTAGCCATATTTCTGTTATAGTAAAATTTGGTGAATCTGGCCTGCCGCCCAACCCCCCTTTTCATAAACATCAGGCTTCTCCATCCCCCTTTTTCATAAACATAGCCAGGGGGGGTTCAGGTGGTTCCAACGAACCACCCCACATGGCCAAAAGGTCCAGAATTTGTTCTTTTAATTTATTTAACATTATATATTTATTATATAATTAATATAATGTATTTATATTCAATATATATTGTAATAAAGTGTCATTTTAAATAACTCTGGCCAGTAATTTGAATCCCATAAAGCCTCAAAGCCACAACAATGTGACGCGAGTCACGTGACATAACCAACTGAGTGGTACATTTGAATCTTTGATGCGACATCCATACTGTGTAACGCTGTGGGACAAAAAGAGCAAGAAGGCAGAAAAGGCAGGCAGTGGCGTCAGTATCGCAAAATACTGAACATATGTTCAAAAAGACAATCAGGGTAGGGCAAAAATTAATTCCTAACAGATGAAAATCTGCCCAATCCATGAGGTTCTTGGCTAACTAGTCGCATTAGCCCGGACGTCCTGTAAGTTATATTTATTGACTTGTCCAGTACATGACCTCCCTTTCCCTATTTTTTACATTATTTTTGTAAATAACTGTCCGACGAAGGCTTTAATGGCAAGCGGAGTCCTCAGTCGTCAGATGTCACTTCACAGCAAAAGGAGCTAATCCCGTCACGTCTGCGTTTTAGAGACTCTTTGCTCACTTTATTTAATTTATTTTGATAAATAATCGGATATAAACAAATTAGCTTAAACCACTTCAGCAGGTGATCTGGGACGCATTTCAGATAAAACTGGATAGGTATGATAATTTTTTGACAAAATTAATATAAAAAAATAAATGATGGCCTAGAGTAAATCTGACCTGCAGCTGAAACACCTGTAGGGGCGCTTTTACAGCCGAAATTCTATTAAAAAGATGTTTACTATAAGCATAAAACATGTTCTAACTTTTCAGGCCTGTAGCCAGGGGGGGTTCGGGTGGTTCAGATGACCAACCCCTTACTGACAAAGGTCCAGAATTTGTCCCATACATGAGCTCATTTGTTCTATTTTGACTGCTATACCATCATAAATAGTGAAAATAATTCATTGAAAAAGGCTTTAAGACCTAACGGAATCATCTGTCGGCTGTTGCTTCGGCAGGACTATAATCTGATCTAAGAGAAGTCTTCTTTCACTACTGTATTGTGTTTAAACAGAAAAAACATTTTACACACAACTTTATTCTAAATTTTACACCTTATTTCTGAAATAAAAATGAGCAATAAACAGGTGTGAAGCACCAGAAGTGGACCAAATTAAATTAATTTGAATATTTTGGCTATTGTTGATATCCAGGAATTTTCTATTGTACTTTTTTTTTACCAAAGAGGCTAGAAAAAATATATATTGTTCATTATTGTATTATTATTATTATTATTATTATTATTATGTTTTAATTATTATTTTTTATTAAAATGGCCAAATTGTGACTGAGGACAGTCTGTTTTTGTCTAATAAATGATAGTAGACTACAGTTTTTTTTTTTACTTTAAAACTTTAACAGATTGCTTTTTTTTCCTAATGATGTATGATGTAATAAATTTGTATTTTAAAAATTAATCTTGTTTAAATTTTTTCATTGCAATTTTTAGGAAATATTTTAGTACATCAAAAAGTGTGGTTATGATGACACCTGACTAGCTAATCGAGCAAATAATAATGTCACTAAAATGTAGCATTTAAATCTCATAGTTAAATAGAAAATGAGGCGGATAACTGCAAAAAGGTCAATTTTTTTAGAAAAAAAAAAACCCCCACCCCTTTCACCAGGCTGGCTACGGGCCTGAAAAATAACATGGAACAAACACTAATGACGACACTCAACATAATCTAATAAACCACAAACTTTCAACAGACATGAATAAAATGACTGAGGATAAATAATTAGTGAATCTTTTTTGAACTGTTTCATTACCCAGAGTTCAACTGAATAGTTTCACTGAAAGCAGTCGTGGCTTTCAAAGCTAAATATAGCTTGATCCTGCCTCCTGGCGTGCCAAGAAAAAAATGCCTCTGTAATAATAAAAAAGAGACAATGCTGCAGCATGCAAATTAGAACAGTATTAGGTATCTAGGGGCATTCAGTGGAACAAGCAATAAAAAAGACATTTATTTCATGCAGTATCACATCCCTCAAAGAATCTTATCCAGGTACGTGTTGCCTAAAACTACAACAAAATCAGACTATATCTAATGGAATGACATTTATTGTTTGGCATTTCACTGGCAATAAAAGGTTGTGGTTGGATATAAAACAGCCTATGTCATTTGGGGGCAATAAACCTGACCTTGATGACGATGAGTCTAGTTACATTGGCCAGCCTTTAGCTGCATGATGAAAGGTGTGTGTTTGCAAATAAAACTAATTTTCCTTTCCAATACGTATGGGTAAGTTATATGTTAGACAAGATGGATGAAGATGAGTTTACAGATTACCTCATTCAGTTGAGCATTGAAGAGCCTTGTCAAGAAGTGTTTGCCCTGACAAAAAAGGGCTTTGGGGGCCCTGATCTTTTGGAATATGTTGTACTTAAAAAATAGGTTGTATAACATTTATTTTGTCATCCAAGTATGTCCAAGTAAGTCCCATATACATTGCGCACATTCCACTTAATGCAACTTTTGTGTTGGGTATTTAAATAGTTAGCTGTTCAAGAGTACCTGTTTCTACCAGCAAGTGGGAAT